ATATATATATATGTGTGTGTGTGTGTGTGTGTGTGTGTGTGTGTGTATATGTGTGTGTCCTTTATGCTCAGTATGGCATCCAATTAAAAGTCACCTGAGAAAAATGCATAAACTTTACTTTTAACTTTGCAAACTGGCTAATAATCACTTTATAAAGCTATTAGTATAGGTTTTAAATTGATGTAAGTTAAGCTCAGCACAAGTGAACCTAAATGTTTTTTTTTTTTTTTAATTGAACAACTTTGTTTCGTCAGCCGGGACTTTCCATATTTAATTTTTTTTTGCAGCGGTTTTGCATCATTTGTAATAAAAGTTGGTCTTGCACTAGAAAAAAATGGATAGAGTTTAAAGTGCAAAGATGCAACCTGAGCTTTGTAAATAAAGCAGAGTTCAGTATTTTTTTTATAAAATGCACTTTACAGAATATATTTTAGTTGTATGTACTGTAAGCTGAATAATTTTCCTGGCTAAAATCGTGTTTGTTGGAGTTTTGTCCTTATTATTGCCACTTGAAAGGGAAAAGTTGTCTCGTGCTCACATTGTCATAATTAGGAGTTTCAAATTCATGATCACAAATTTCTAAGTCATATTTTTATTTTGTATCTCATTTATCGGGTGAATCTGTTATAATAATGGCTTTTAAAGTCTTATAACTTATAACATCACTTGTGAATATATATCAGATCTTTATTTACTGTTTCTTTTTACACTTAATATTTTTGCTATTGTTTGATGGAACTGGGACCCTGTGTACACAGTTTCCTTCCACTACATGTACCACATGTGATGCGAAGGACAAATAAAGAAACTCTGTCTTGTAACTTGTTGTGTGTGGCAGTAATGGGCTTCCTTAATCCTTACAGACAATCTCATTATTGTCACTCCCAGGAAAAAATAATCCTGATCAAGATTTGTAATCCTAATCGCAACTATTTTTGCCCCTATTGATTTCATGCCGATGTATTCCCACCTATCTTTATCAGACATGAAATGAGAAAATGTTTTTTATTTTTCCTGGCTTTGTCACCTGATGAGAGTCCAGAGGTTGTCCATTTACTTTAATGCCTTGCACTAAAACAATGAGAGCAATATCACATAAAACCCAGCTTTGTGTCTTTTTATGGGTTTTTGTGTTGTTAAAAACCGAAGAGCCCAGATGAAACGGAAAAGCACAATTCAATGGAGCGTAACATTTATGACATAAATCCATAAAAAGCTTCACATTCTTTTTGTGTGTCTGAGTACAAACACTCAATACATCATCTTATGACGTGTTACTGTTCTTGTTAGAACAGCGGGGATATTGTAATATGGTTGCAAAAAGCTGATAATACAGAAATGGCTTGAAGCATTAGAGCGACCAAAATAAAATGGAGCCAAATCAAAATAGAACAAAAGACAAAAATCTGTTTATTTTTCCGTCTGTCACCTGAGTACAATTTGTTCCGGTGAATGAGCTTTTGCAGGCACTTGATCCAAAATTAGGTCTGCTTGTCACATCTGCCTTCACATCATCTGCTGCATGTGGAGCAGCCAGCCTCGGCTGAAAGGCGGCTGTTGTTCTTTAAAGTCCGCCCGTACACTTTGTCTCCCAGCGGGCTTTACAGGCTCACTTCAACCGGTTTCAAGGATTCTTTGGGAAACACTCTTGAAGATGTTTGGCACATGAATTGAAAATATTCTCCGTCAAGTCCCTTTTTGGTTTCTGGATGAATGCCTTCAGAAACAACACTAAAAGCAGAATTGTAATTATCCAGAATGCAAATTACTCGTCAGAGCTCAAAGCTGAATGGAAGCAGCTGTCATTGAATATTTCAGCTTCGAACTCATGCAAGTTTGAGTGTAAATGAATGAAGGGGCTTTTAGACAAAACAAATCTGACTTTAATAAATGTAAAAATCAGCGTAGTCCTGTGAAGTAAAGCGATGTGACCACAAAATTAGGCTGTTTGGAGTTGCCATTGAGATAAACCAGCAGAACTATGAAGGCACACAAAAAAAATCAAGCTGAGTCGGCCTGCCCCAAAACAAAAGTTATGGCTTCCCCGCTTGGCCTTGAATAGGCCATCTCACATTTCTCCTGGAGGTTATATGGACAAGAAGCTCTGCAGATGACAGTGTCGTTAAAAGCAAAAACAAAGCTAAAATGGAGAATCTGTGTGGATTAAATAAGTGCACTTCAGCTGTTTTATAGGATTTCAGAAGTTCCATATCAACCAAGTGCTGCAGATCAAACGTATTGATTAAGTGATCACTTCTATAAAAGCAGGAGTTTTGGCAGTTTGCTTCTCTTAACACGAAGAAGAAGAAAAACCGAGAAGGAAAACCATCAGTAATGCCTTTAAATAAACATCTGTTTCTGCCCATCACTCTGAGAGGGGTTACAGGTCACTTCCAAACAATTTGGAGTCCAACTTTCTGCTGTGGGAACAATTGGATCTATCATATGGCTGCTAATCTACCCAGAGTGAACATTCCAGCAAATTCACCCCAAGATCAGATTGTGCAACGCTCAGAGGAACTGCACAAAAACACGTACTGGTAACTCCATCTCAGAGTCAACAGGCCTCAGCAGGTTGAAGTTTAAAGCTCATAACAGGACAATTAGAAAAAGACGGGACAGATTTGTTTGGAATGGTTGCCAGAAGAAAGCCTCTTAGGAGTTAAACTAGAGACTGGACTTGTGACACTATAGGAAAATAATTGTCAAAGTAAACCCAATGAAACTTTGATCTTAGTCAAACACCTGAACATATGATTTGGTTCATGCTGATGCTGGTCTGTGTTGTAGATGAAAGAGGCGAGAGGATGTTTGTAACCAGGAAGTCCACAGAAAGACGTGCATGCATTCTGTCCCTTTCCTGTCCTCTGAACTCTTGATGATGTCACCAGGCCTCTCTGCTCTGCTCCACAGGTAATGCAGGTGGTGAGGGAGCAGATCATGCGAGCGCTCACTCTCAAGCCTAATTCTCTGGACCAGTTCAAGAGTCGCCTGCAGAACCTGAGCTACACAGAGATCCTGAAGATCCGCCAGTCCGAGAGGATGAATCAGGAAGACTTCCAGTCCCGCCCCATTTTGTGAGTGTCACATTTTCACAGCGTAATGGTCAGGAGGCCATTTTATACAAGAAAACATGGAGGATCTCTTTAACCTGTAGTCTTTTCTCAAATCTACCTTGTGAAGTTTATTGACTTAAAAGAGTGCAACACTTAACCTGCATCCACAGAAATATTTAAGGCTCTTAACTTACCTCTAATAGTTTTTGTTTTACTTTTTGTATTTGTCATGTAAAAGCCAGAAAGTGTCCTAAACCAAGCTGCACCAGATTTCCTCTTTTATTGTTTTAGGCATTCAATTCCCATTGTGCGTGGATTGCATTCGCACTATACGTTCAATTAAAACCCCTCCAGCTAATTACAGACAGATTAAACTAAATGCAGATATTGAATAAATAAGTCTCCATTACTTTGTTCTGCTCTGTTTATATTTAATGGAGTGGGTAGAAGTACTGAGGAATAGTTGCAGTGAGATCTTGTCTCATTTTTAACAGTAATCAATGCTGAGCTAAGAGCTTATTGAGTCAGTGTAGTGGAGGGTAGAGACTAAACCTGAGCAGACACTTAATCCTAGTGGAGAAAAGGTAATAAAACAAAAAAACTGTAGGAAAACGTAATTTAAACGCTGAAGCGTTGTCTTTTTTGTTTGTATTTATCAAATTAAACCATTAAAAATCAGTTGAAACATATTTTGTTCACATGATTTTAATACATTGTGGAGAAAAATCTGAAACTTCTAAGATATTTAAGTGTTCCCACACAGTTTCAGACTATTAGAGCAGCAAGTGAAAGCTAACTAGAATAAAAAAGCAGGTTTTAAAACGTCCTCACAAAGTATTGTGACATCAGGTTTACGTTAACCTCTAATCTGTACAATCATAAATTATTTATATATATATATATATATATATATAAATAAATTATGATTG